GAGGAATACAGCCCTCTGCTGCTGGGGGAACTGAAGCAAGGAAAGGGAACGCTATTTGTGCGCTGCCAACCTGAAGCTCGCCAGGAAGCGATGACTGGCTTTGCCCAGGCTGAGTTCTTATCTACTACCATTAAAAGCAAGTGGTGTTCAATCTGGCCATTCTGAGAATGTCCAAAGGCTCCATTAGATTTTACTTCCCACACTCAGGATGAAATGGGAATAATCCAACCGACTTCAAATTGTATTTCAAAAGCAAATTGAGCAAAAAACATCTTCCTTACCAACCCTGCCCGTGGACTTACGTGGCCATTAGCTCTATCAAGGAGGTCGCGTAACCGACAGCCTCTACTGTGTCGCCTTTCATAACAAATGCTGTCTTCTAGGATCACGTAGTCTGTGCCGAAGGATCGCAGTATTCTGTAAACATCTTCCGGAGATCGCTTGGCATAGATCTGATAAATCTACGGAAGAAGAGAAGCTGTAAGACAGGTTACATTACCACCATTTCTTTGTTTGCTCTTTCATGATTCCTTTACCTTGAACCAGAGAAAGAACCGAGCTCCATAACCCACGTGATCCCAGTATTTTCAAAAAACAAACCAGAAACGCTTTATTCAGTAGCCACTTTTTTCTGTTTCTTTTTTTTTTTTTTTTGGAGTACTACGTTACAGCTGCTGTGAGGCACGACAGCGCTGCTGCTGGCTACGAGAACACTGGATGGTGCTGCTGTTTGTAGAAAGGGCTCGGTAGGTGTCCGTACAACTCTCAGAATGTCTAAATTATGGGAAAGAATAGTTTAAAATAATCTTCCCAGCTTTGCGTGGAGTTTCTCAAGGTGGTTGCTATGTATGTTATGTGCTAGTCGGGGAACTGAAGGGAGAATCAGGCAACTGTGGAAATGCTCCATGTGGGTTTAACGGCCCAACTGGGCAGCAGGATCCATTAAAGCCAACAGCACCCCAAGCAGCTCACGCAGAAGGAGCTGGAGTACGTAGGCACAGTAGCTCAGACACACACCAGCTGCCAGAAGTGAGGCAGCAGATGCCCAACCTACTGTGAGTTTCACAGAAGAAGTTACATTCTGGAACTGTCTGAAGGTAAGTTACTTCGAGGAGCAGAGCACGCCATGGCGTTTGCACGGTGCCACTGGAGACCGCGTGTGCTTTCTGGAGTGGAGCCGCTGAGCGGGGTAAGAATTAGCCGGCCCAGTCAGAACCCTCTTACCTGTTTCGTTCTCTCTCTCAGATCCTTGTCCTCGTAATGGGGATGATTAGTCAAGGTCCGTCCGGTGCACAGTTTGACCCCTGCCAATAGCTGCATGCTCCCAGCAAACACTGCTGTGTTTGGAGTGTTTGACCTAAACAAACGTCGACAAGTCTGAGTGAGGAAGTGTCTGTAGGGGCATTTTTGCATTGCTTCTTACATATCAGAAGGAAAAAAAAGACTGAAAAAATATTTTTCTGCCTCTCCTCTATTCAGGGAGCAAACTGTTCAAGCAACTCTGTTTTCTTCAAATATGGAGCGGATAAATCACGGTGATACTCTAACTGCAAATAAAAAATTTACTGTGCACTGCGAGGAAATTTAGGGAAAACATGATTCCTGAAAATTTCTAACTGTCTCCGTATTTCATGTATTTCTTGGGTTCATTTGGATATCCTCCGGATACTTGTAAATTCTGATATCCTAATTATTTTAATATTTCAAGATAATGATTGCGACTTAGATTTGTGTCTGTCATATAAGGTATTCTACATAAAATGGATTAATTTAATCTGAATGCTAAAACTTCTTGTTACTGTCCTGGCATTCACCATTCATTTGGAATGAAAACCTTGTTATGTGAGACATTAATCCTCCAATTCTGACAACTGTGGGAGAGAAGTTACGAAAAAAGTCATGCCAGGGCGGGTTACAAGAAGTGGGGTGGGGGGATGCCGAAGGTGCCAGATAGATATGCTGTCAATCACTGGTACCCTGAGCCCATCTGAAACTCAAAGCCAGTGTCTGAAACTGGTATCTGAATAACAGTCTTGGTATCTCAGCATTGTTTAAATGCCCGTTATGAAAAAATTGTATTTTTGCTCACCTTCTCCCAACAAGTTTACAACCTAAAATGTATCTAAAGACCCAACAGAAGGGCACAGCAAAAAGATAAAGTGAAAATGCCAAGCCACGGAGACTACTATAATTAGGCTAATTAAAAATGCTCACAGTATGCTTAGGTGTTTCCCAGCACTTAGAACCTGTCCTGCTATGAAGACTAAACCAACAGAGAGCAGCACACATCAAAGCAAGTAAACTGAAATTAGACAGGAATGTGAGTAGCTGCCCAACGTCCGGTACGTGTGCATGTGGCACCTGCAGCGGTCCCCTAACTGTGACACTTTGGGGTGCCCTGTAGGGAGCCCTGGGCAGCTGCAGCTATGAATTCAGTCTTCTCTAAGCTCCAGGATCGGCTTGAAAGTGTTATGAGACAAGTATTAAATTCGCCTTTCAAGAGATTACGTTTAGCAAATGAATTAATAACTACAAAACCTTCCTAAAAATTCTTGCACCGGTACACTAATCTCATCCAGGAAGGACAGAGATAGTGTTTTTAACAGGCCAGTTTAATCTCACCAATAGACGAGTTTTTCAGCAGTTTATGAAACCAGTTTAATTTTTAATTCTGAAAATATTTAATCTCTTTTAAAAATTTCTTTTTTACTTAAAATATTCAAAGCCACAAGTGTCATGAAGCGAATGTTTCATTAAAAGAAGTGAATTTCTCTTAGAATTTAGTATGACACAAATGTAACGGCCCTGACAGGCTGTCAGCTTGGACTCATCCCTGAATCTGCAGGAAAGCACAATTCCTTAGACTAAGCTGAAAAGACCATGGACTAGATTCACGGAGCAATGTGGTAGGGCTTAGACACCTAAATGAACATGGTGATTCTCAAAGGCCCCTTCAACACGTTGCCGTGCTTATGCCTGCACTGGGAAACTTGTAGAGCAAAAAGTCTGTTTCTGTGTGTGTTCAAGGTCGGTTCAAATTTGGCAACGCCCCGCAGTACTCATCTTTCCGAGGCAGTCCTGCACCTCTGATGCTGAAGAGCCCAAGATAATGCAAACGTGGAGAATCAAACTTACTTAAAAATAACCCCAACAAGTACCAAAGGCAAAACCACAAGAAAACAACAACATCAAAAAAAAAAAAACATTCCCAAGCATTAGCCTGCAGCCTTTTTCCTGACAAAAGCAAGCTTGAGGAAATGGTGATGGGGCCCTTTTTCCATAGCTTCCTGGCAAAAATGCTTCTCAGAAATGCAGACGATGCGGGGTTCAATCCCTGCCCTTTCTAAAAGCCCAGACAGGGTGAAACAGCCAAGTGCATCTGTTATTTATCAGGTACGGAGCGTTTTGCCAGCACTTCCTCCTCCTCCTGCACCTTAAAAGCGATCCAGTGACCCTTGCTTGCTTTTCAAAAACTGGCTGACGTGCCTCGGTCCTGGATGGAGTTCGAAATGAGGTATTCCAGGTGGAGGCAGATGTTTCCCTGACACTTGTTCTGCCATGTCTGAAGTCCTGGGAATGACCGGCCTCATGACACAGCACGGTTGGTGTCGGGCTGGGGCAGTGGAGGGAGGCACGCACGCCCATGCTCTACCAGCAGTGCCACCAACGCACGCCTGGCACTGCATCTCACGGCTGCGGACACGCCTGGAAGCAAGGGGATGCTGAGCTGCACGTGGTGCCTGCCCTCCTTAGCCACATCCCAAACGGCTTGCGCTGGCGGCCCTTGCCACGCGTCTGTCTTCTCCATGTGCCGCTGGAGGGAGGCACGGTCACCGACTCCCGTTTTCCAGGCACAGGGCGATTCCCGCGCTTTTCTCCGACACTCCTGCCCGAGTCAGACACCGACTGCCATGGTCTGGATCCCAGGCAGCTCACGTGCTTCAAACCACCAAGTGACACTTCTCTATTACCGACAAACGAAGCAATTTTTACAAATGTCTGAACAGACAACGTCTAAAACGAAAGGATGATTTGTTTTTATAGCTTCCTGCCAAGCCCCGTGCCGCGCTGCCCAACCTGCACACCATTTATTCTGTAGGAAATGTCACTAAATAATGACAAGGACTTACAGGTCAAACTGATTTACATTAGGTAATTTAAATGTCATCCCGAGCAGACCTGATGGCATTTTGAACAAATAATCTCATTTATTTTTGAAGCTCTAAGCTCTCAACAAGTTAATTACAGCTGAACTAATGGGTAAAGTAAGCACTATAATACATCGTATGAAGCTTTTCTTTGCCTCCACTTAAGAATTTAGAGAATTATGTACATACTAAAGAATAACTCATTAAAAATAAATGGGTTTTACAGGAGCTACAGGTCTATGCTCAACTTGCACAGACTCTAAAAGGGGCAGTTCTTTCTCTTACTAGGCTGCTAAAGAATTACTGAGTTGGTTTTAAGGAAGCCCTACAGAAATGGCCAACGTGCAATTACAGGTTACACCACCAGAAATAAAATGGCTAATTCTATTTAAAGCCCTCCAGAGTTAAACCCAGTAGTCAGTTTTCAAAGACGTAACGTCTGACAAATTTCAGATTATTCCTTTACTAGTGCCCTGGTGCGATATGAATCTAGAAAGCAAAGGGGTTTGAGAAAAGGAGATTCTCAAATATACCACGTTGAATTTTGCTTTAAGACAAAGTCTTTTTATTTGCAGAATGCTATAGTAAAATACTACAGGTTTAGCTGCAAATGATAGGCAGTAAAGCATATTTAGTCAAACTGTCATGGTTCTTTTTTTTCCCTCTGGTTTGGAAAGACTGAAAATTGCAAATATGGAAAATGACAGCCACAAAGAAAGAGCAACAAGATGCATTTTTGTTAGCCCCAGACTCAATTTTACGCATGCATATTGTGTTCACACAAAGGAGCGCACCTACACAGTTGGTATAAACCTAGTTCTCAGGCACTACCAAGTTCATGCCTGCATTTTACTGACAAATCAGTCAATCACAAAGGATAAGCCCAGGAATTTAAGAACAATAATTAAAAAAAAAAAGAAGAGGTGTAATATTGCCTTTAAAGTCTGGAATATGTGTTGATTTCAGTGTGATTACCCTTGAAAATCAGGCACGTAAGTAAGAGTGAAGAGTCAGAATTTGTAGCTGGACTGAAATTGCAATGTAGCCATTAATACAAATTACTGAATGAAAGAACCACCACTGAAACATGGGCATTCCGTTCTTGTAGCCGTAGGAGCTTTTTGGAAATTTGTGGGGTTTCCACTAATATAAGAATTTGCCTGCTTGTCCCCCACACCTGATCCAAATACAGCTGACACACAGCTATGCTCTGCCAAATCTCAGTCTCAGTTAACTTTTCCACTGTTTTGGCTGTTGTCCGAGATTTCTAAGAAGTTTTTCAATGATTTTGGCAACTGCTTATGAAATATTCCACAGTTCTAGATAGGTTTCCCCTTTAAAGGCAGAAGACATTGCTTCTTTAACACTTACCAGAAGTAAACAGAGTAGGGAAGTTCACGCTATTGATTTGCTCATTCTACTGATATTCTTCCCCATCTCACAAATGAGCATGTTGTTCCTGTTGTCTTAGGGAGAAAGACCAAAACTAAGAATTTTAATATACCTCCCATCTGGGAACACAGCTGTGAACTATCCCTGGGTCACTGGCAGGACCTGATTGACTTTTTTTTTTAAAAAAAAGCTAAGAAAATGAGGCAGTGGGTAGGCAAAAGCAAGAGCCTGGGATAGGCAAGGTCATTCATTACGTAAAGAACTGCGCTCTGCAATGGCTGCAGCCCAACAGTACGCAGTAGCTGTATGGTAGAGAGAAACCGTTCAGCTTCCTCAACACGCTATGGTAACTTCAGCAAGGGGAAGATTAAAAAATACATCTGCAGACACTTCACAGTGGGCAGACTAAGAGCTGGCTATTGTTTGGACTGTATATTTGGACAAGCTAATAGGCATTTAGATGTAAGCAGATAGAAGGGCTTTCTTGTTGCGGAGAGATTACAAGACAGTTGAGTTATTCCTAATTCACTGCTGTACGTGACAAATTAGAGCTTCTCATAGTGAGTTTTAATAATGAATGATTAGTTCCTGGCATGAACCTTGACAGATCATTAACTACAGCACAACTATCAAGTGTTAGCATACCAAAACATTTTTCTTACACATCAGAACTTAGGAAAAATCGGTCCCACTCCGAGAAACTTACCATCAATTTTGTTGGCTTGTATTTAAAGCAGAGATAATTAACTCTTCTTTACAGAAATAATATTTCTAAACACAGTAAATTCTAAGTACAAAATTTCTCTCTGTAATTGTCTGTCATGGTTTAAAATGAAAAGAGGACAAGCACCAGTTTAGCATTCTCAGCACTAAGAACTTATGAAAAATCATTCTCATCGGATCCAGTCAAACCCAGTTCATGGCTGGGAATAGCTCCACGTGCATATTTTATGCATAAATCTATATATAACTCTATATATTGTACACAGGAGACCTGAACTATCAGACACTGACCACCTTTTAATAAAACAGTAGTGCTAAATGGAACTGGCTGGTAAACATCAGTCACAAAACCATGTCAGTATGGCTGCAAAGATTCTAAATGACAGAAAAACCCATGGCCTGCTTTCAGAATAAGTCAGCGAAGGCTTGTAATGTATTTTACTTCTGAATTACTCCTTCTAGTTTATGGATTAAAGAAATACAACATTATGGAGTGTAAATAAGTTGCTATGGGTAGAATAGGCTGGGTGACTGTTTGCCCTGAAGTTCAGTGCACATGGAAACACAACACAGGGCTCCAAGGAAATACTTCAAACAGTTTCATGTTAAATATAGTAAATTCACATTTACTTTCAGAATGTTTTCCTCTAGAACATGAAACCGATTCCTTTCGGTTTTAAATCACTGTCAGAGTTCCAAATAAATACAAGACCCAGGATTATCTCTGTTCAGAACTTAACCTGGAAGTTTTTAATGGTTACTGTATGTTTAATAGAGAACACATCCCTTTAATTCACAGAGCTCCAGAGAACATCCTACCTGGCCCTTTTTCTCAGGATCTTCTACATGCAGTATTCCAAACTGTTTCCACCTAAAAAATACCTTCCTATGGTCTGTGAGAAAGCAGAAGTGATGAAGTGGGGTTGGAATGAATAACTCATACTCCCAAAAGAGACTTTGCACCTAGGTTTAGCTGTGGCAAGTTCAATTACAAATATTTTATTTACAGTTTAGAACAAAAGTTGGGGTTCATTCTAAGAAGTATAAACTATTTAGATTATTTTAAAGTTCAAGAAGCAGATTGTAGAACACAGATTTTTCAGCCCTACAACTGTACATCCAAACTCTTCAAAATTATTAAGTTGAAAACAGGACACCAGGCTGGGCAGAAGAACAAAATATTTACTGCAAAGGTCAATTAAGAGGTAGCTATAATGTGATGGAAAAAGCTTGGCACCTACAAATTTACCTCTTTTGGCTGGGAAAACTATGTGTACTTATGGGAGCAAACGGAGTCGCCTGGTTCCCTGACGCATATGCAACACAGCAGCACCACACTGACCCAGAGCAGAGCACTCTGGGGGACCTTGCATGTAGCTGTTCCCACAGCCCTTAAGGTGCTAACCTCTTGACAGCCCACTCATCCTTAACTACCTCCACGGGTCACCAGAGTTCACTGATGAGCTGTGACAAATAAGGAGAGCACTATAACTAAGAACATTAGCTCTACACAAATAGCATTTAACTTAAATAGAGAAAAAATCCTCTTACTTAATCCAGTTCATCAGCTCCACAGTGTCTGGGTCATAGAATTCTCTCAGCTCTGACAGTTCATCCATTATTCCTGGCCAGAACTGTAAGGAAAACAAGATAAATCAAAAACCAAGACAGAATGAACAAAACAAGTTCTGGATGTTGAAACACATTATTTCCTCTTAGCTGGTAACTGATCTTGTCCAGCTCGTGGGTAAGTTGCTCATGTACCCTTCTTAGGAAGGATAGGTGGCTGTCACTGCAGTATGAGTACACAGTCTGCGACCTGCAGTTCCTGCCAGATGACCAGAAGGAACAGAATTACCTGTTGTGGTGAGCCTGAGAACAGCTTTTCTCATGTGCACATCTCACTGGAAGTGTCCAGAACTCTATCAGTTAAGATCAGTTTCTATCTTAAAATTGATGGGAAACTAAAAATCGCCACCAAACATTACTGTTGTGCACTGTATCAACCTTCCAGGCAAACTGTTTCAGTTCCCTGGACTATAGGATGAATGTTAACATCCTAAATTATTCCTTGAGAGACTAAGCTTTAGGAAAAGGAGCAAGATAAAGAGGCATCATGTATCAGTTCAACACAGCCAAGCCATCAGATAATGCCAATGATTACAGGAGAAGGAAAGGCCCCAAGAATTAATGTTAAGTTTGGAAAGGCAACTTACAGCTAAATTAGAAAGAAGCACATTAGATGTGCTGTGGATGTCATTAATGGCATTTCAGAAGTTTGAATTCAAAGAGACCCACTGAAGGAAAAAAGGGAAGTGTGACTGAACATCCAGCAGACTACTGGGGGGAAAACATTTCAAAATTTACTGAGGACAAAGAACACATAAATCAAATCTGGAGGAGAGAAATAAGGATTTTAATTGATTCTGAAAGCTTAACCCTCCCAGGAAAAAAGCTAACAGAACAAAGATTTATTTAAGGGCTTCTTGTTGTGTAAGCTAGTGAATATTCAAGGGCAAAATGGAGCAATTAAGAAAGATAATACCAGTGGTAATGACTAACTGATTGCTTTGCATCAGTCTTTACTACAGAGGACGTTAAACCTGTTCCAAACCTGTTTTCTTTAGGTAATAAGGATTGCTGGCTTGCACAGTGCAATGTCACAGGAAAAAGTTTGAGAAAACCCATCAGATAATGTACAAAGCCATAAATCATCCAATTTAGACAATATTCACCCAAGAGTTGAGAAGGAATTCGAATGTGATGCTGCTTAGTGAAAATATGTGTTCTTTCACTAAAACTGTAATTATGTAGGAGGACTGGGGAGCTGGAGATGTAATTGGGCCCATTAAGCTACTTACTAGTTTAACTGTTTACTTGATACATTTTTTAAAGTAATACTGGCTGGTAGACTGGGAAACATCTAAAAGATAGTTATGACAGTATCACCACCTCACGGTTTTGGGAAGTGCAGCAGTGTAACAGACATCTTCCTGCTCTTCCTAAGTTCTCTCCGGAGATTAGTAAATGAACTAAGCAGTTGTAAAATGAGACTGTAGGGTCTCATCATGAATCAAAATTTCCTGTCTTCATTACTAAACCACCCTGGATAGCTAAACATTTTGAGAGCCTGGAGTATTTCAGGGTGGAGACAAAAGGAAACAGGCTCTGCTTTGCTTCTAGATCATGCTCCAAACCTGCCCTGCAACCTAGGGAGAATCTAGTGACACTGGATGTGTCCCCTGGATAGTCCCCTGGATGCTGGGACTATTATATGGCACTAACTAACCTACACAGGTTTTTCAAGTCACAGTGTCATACGTTAGACTGTCTATCAGCATGTCCTGCTCTGGCATCACCCGTGTCAAAAGAAATGGCATCATTTCTATTACTTTTCAGAGATTATGAAAATGGTAAATGACTTCCCTAAGCAGCATACCAAAGGGGAAAAAAAATTCCTAAGAAGTTCTCTTGCAGAAGAGTAAGAAAACTTAAGTGGAATACATCAGTGTAACTTAACTCAACAAACAGTATTTTTTGACTTTTCATTTCACTCTTTTACGGAGGGAACAGACTTCCAGAGTGAACTCTATTAGGAGCTTTCTTAACTGTTATGCTTTACTACTGCCTTTTTAAATTTAATGATGAAATTCCCCTCGAGTTTCTTGAAGGTAATTATTTAACAGAAATATTCTCATCTAGCACTAGGTATTGCAGAAATAACCTCTCCATCAAAGCAGCATCTGTATTTTTTGTATTTGTAAGAGCAGACTAAATGAATGGTATGCCCATTAAACTGATGTTGTAAATCTCACTTGTGGACAGACTAATAATCTTGTGCACGTTACTATTTGAAATATGTTTTAAGTATTTACATTTCAACTTGGGACCATAATAATACTTTGTTTCTGGGACAGACTGAAGATGACATAAGTACTTGATTAGTTTAACAATTCTGCATTTTAAAACATATAAACTTTATGATTATTTCTCCTCCTACAATGAATTGTTCCACAGTTTAACACTGTGCATTTTATGTGCAACTTACTAAGAAAAACAGACAACTTACATTTCTACAAAATTCTGCATTTAAATAACACCTGGTAACTTACACAGTCAGACAAACATTCGTGTCCACGAACAGCTACTTTGGATCAAGTGAGCTCCACTGATCCTTGACATACAATTCCATATGCGTAAAGGTACTTGCACTTCAGGTAGTCTATCCCAGTTTTTAAGATTCAGCTGCACAAATTCTACGTAATTATTTATCAAACAACATCCCTTTAAGGAAAAAGGAAAATTCTGTGCAAATAAAAAAACCCCAAAACATGGGAAAAAATATTCTTACCTTATATGAAATGTAGAGGAATGTAATTACTGGTAGAGAATACTTAATCAGATGCATCTAAGAGAAAATGCAAAAAAAATAATTGGTTATTGTGACGATACATTTATTTGGATAGACTTAATTGTTAACATGTTGATATCTGACACATTTATCATGTGGTAGAATTTACAGAGTTTTAATTTTAAGGCACATTCATTTTTTTTAAAGTAAAACCTTTATTACAGGCCTATCACAGATGATAGATTCCTATCTATACACTTAAATCTGACTTCCACAAAGTGAGAATTGATACAGTGATGTATCAATTCAGTGTAATGGATTGTAAAGGTCTTCTCAGACTGCTGGTGATTTCTTAATATGGTGAGACTAAGGCTTTTTTTAGTAAAATTGTGGTAATTTTTCATAGCCACATCTATATTGCCATCTAGTGCATTCAAATGGAATTGTTTAATATATAAACCACTAGAATACATATTACTAAATTTATACAAATGCACTTCAAAGATACCCAGTTTAAAAGGACTACAAACAATATTCATTTCAGATGTCTTACAGTCCCGAGTCTTGGTTTGGTTTAGATATGGAGCAAAAACAAGTTTCATGAAGTGCTGTATAGTGCTAACCCTCCGTGATGTGTAGAGACGAACACCCTTCAGGATAAGTTTCCATACTTCTGTACTGCACAGGCCAAAAGATGCAAACACACACATGTGGGATGTCCAGAGGTACTTCATCCTGGAAGAACACAGACAAGTTTTTGCTGATCATCTGGAGCTCTGCTAAGCCGTGTTGATGACAGCAGCTATGTTAGAGAAATTCTGAACAGTTTTCTTGGACTTTCAGGACTCTGAAGTAATGGAGTAAGAGATTGACTTTGCACTTTGCTATGTGCTCTTGAGAACATCTCTGCTCCCAAACTTCCAAACATTCTTTTTGGCACAATTTTGGGAAATGCTTCAGGCTACAGCAGAAACACACTGGGGGGAGAAAGATGGTACGTGATCCTATCACTTTGTGGTCAGCATATTTTACACACTTACAAAAATATACTCCATTGCCTCAAAAAGCCTTTAGTAGAATTAAAAAAATATATACCTCATTGTGCTTAATGCTAGACAACCAAAAAGAACGGTGTGAATTAAGTTGTAAGCAGCATCAGGCTTCAGTGTTACTGTGCATTCTTCTACTTTTTCCATGAACTGTACTTGATTTGAACCTCTAATTAAACAGAAGAAATAAAAAGTGTTATCTTTAGTTCTGTAACATGTTTTACATAGTTGTATTTTAAAAAGCACTTAATCCTTCTGATGCTAAAGAGCATTACTACTGCTATCGGTCCGCAATCTTCTGTTGTATCTATGATACAATTAAGCCTGATAGCACCAACTTGATGCAGCACCAGGTATTTATCTTCACGTCTAGCTTTCGGGAAGTGCAGTGGGTTTAAACAGGCTGGTTAAGAATGAGATAAAATTGTTTACGGGAAGTCTTATTCAGCAACTTATTGCTTGAAGCAGTTCCTCCCGCAGGGTTCACAGGGCTTCTGATTAGAGTGAAGAACTTAACTGTGTTTTGTGGGGGTTGTGCTGGTATATCTGGATGCTCCTAATGCCATAGACTGGAAGTAAAATTACAGAAAAGAAGTGCTGAAAGGTCTGGATACGACTCTTGGGAATATATTTGGAGGGCTGATGAAGAAAACAAAGAAGCTGCTTAAACGTGTGAGTGTTTTCCCTGTTTTTTCGGGTGGGAGAGAACTGGGCAGTGTTAAAAATTAGGGTAACGTTTGGGATCACATTTAGGATTACAGAAAATAAGAGCTGCAGGGTCTTTTGTTTGTCTCTAAAATTGATTGATGCAGCCTATTTTTAAGAGGCTGGTTGAATAGTACCAAAATGCCTTACACATGCCTATGACTTCACAATTATTAGGACATAGTTTCAGAATGCCTTAGATCCTCTCCCTCCCCCTTTTCATCCTGTTTTCCACAAAATCTACCATGAGTGGCATTAGTTGACACTCCTTGAATTTTTGCTTAATCAACTTTTATATCATCCCTTCTAACTTTTGCCCAGGTGTAAATGTAAAACTGACGGGTCTATAAGGAACCATTTACTTTTCTTTTTAAATAGTAGTTCAGTAGTAATTTTTTTCTAGTGTTGTGGAAATATGTCCAAATCCTACAGATTAGCTACAGGAACTGGCAGAAGTGGTTCCCAGTTGCAGTCTACCACTCCTGCTTCTTCACACAGATCACAGGAAGTTCAGCACAGACTATCCTTGCTCCTTTCTAGGCAGATTAAGGACACCACCAGGGAAATCTTTGATTGGGAGCGCTTTGCACAGGGAAAATGGGATGAACTAAAGAAACGAGTGTTTTTTTTCTATAAGCAGTCTTCCCCTGCTTCCTCTCCTCCCCCAAAACCCAACCAACCCTACATATATTGCAAAACTTCAACAGCAAACAAGAGAGCTTGAAGGAATCTAGGCAATAATGTTTCTTTCTTTCTTTACATCCTTTGCATTTTTAGCTTTAATAGGAAGTTACTTATTTTGCCTGATCTCTCTGTGTCCTACTGTTTCCTTAGTGCCTGTGGAAAGTAATACTGCATGCTGCTGTATTCAACTGTCAGCTCCTTACCCTTTGAAAAAGAGAAAATTGATAAAAACGTGAATTATTTTAAGAATATATTTTACCTGAGGTTCCGAAAAGCAACAATTACAGCTGCTACTGTCATAAGGAAGAGAACAAATACGTAGACGTAAAAAAGTAACGTATCCGAGAGTCTTGAAAAAGTGTTTAACGGTAGCAACCCAAAAGCTTCTTCGCAAAGATAGAGGTTAGCATCAAAATCTCTAAAGGAAAAAGAATAATCCTTGTTATCATGTATTTCATAATGTCAAAAAGGAACCAAGTTTCCTTTTTGCCCCAAGAAATTATAAAGACCCAGTTGTGTGGATATTATGAAGGAAAATATATGACATAAACATGAGGCAAAAATCCCTGATAATCACCAAGATTTTCAGTGAGAATAACCTCCAGACTTCACTTGATGAAGTCATACAAAAAAGCAAAATTGCATCTAAATCATACCTTGTTGACCCAAATCCAAATTTTGCTTTCAGGAATTTGAATATATGTTCATCTGACTCAAGATTAAGAACTTTCTAAAAAGGGGGAAAAAGAAAGACAATTATATTTTCAGTATCAAAACATTAAGCTTCACACAGTAAACAGTTTTTCAACATTTGAGTGAAACTCTGAAGCAACACAAGTTTACTGAGATAGGATGCTTCGCAATCAAATGAGCACTCGGTTTGTAACTGTGGTCCTGTGGTCCATAGGGCAAGTTACTTTTTACAATATCTATTAGGGTTAGTTTCTTATTTACAGGTAAAGTTTATCCAGGACAAGTTGGTTTGAGCGGAATTTATTTCAATGGCTTATCATCTCTTCCTGTGATACTTTCAATTTCCACATGTACTAAATTTTAATCTGCTGATAATAGATTTCTTGAAGATTAAAACTCTGAAGCAGAAAAAGTGTTACTGTCACTAATGTCTACAGACATCCCTGTGTATAAGAAGCAACAACAGGGGTGGGATGGGATGGGATGGTCTACAACGTTTTTATAACAAGTATTCATTTTTAAATGCATTCACTGAAAAGTAAACTCAATGAAAGACTCTGCAAATGCTCATCAGTATCAGAATGCAGTATAAATCTAGACTTGTTATAAAATGAGAGGTGAGCTTCAAGTTACAAATACGTATTCAATTATTTGGTGTTACTTTATGAAGTTTAAGAATATCTTTTAAATATTATTTATACCAAAAATATTAGAAAACAATCCTTCCTTTCTAACACAGTCTCTGAAATGCACTGAAATCTCAGCGCAATTTTTTATCTAATGATATTACTGTAGATGGTTAACAAATAGCTTTTAACACAATACATTTTCTAAGTTTCTATATCAAAAATTATTTGCTTACCTTGATGAATTTATTTATCAGGAGAGTCAAGCACAAGACTAATAGTACATGGAGGATAAGTTTCCCAAGCCTATTAAGCAACCCACCCTTTTTTAGGTTTTTCTAGAAAAAAGAAAATATAAGCATTTCAGATTTTTTTGTATGCATTTGGAACACAAGCACCATGGATCATTTGAAACTGCTTACCTGCTAGGCCTCATCAGGATCAAATTTATATTAGATTCATGTAAGCGAAAATGTACACATAACCAAGTACCCAGAGTAAAAACACATTTCCTCAGCAAAACTGAAGGGACAATATCATAAAAGCTGGCCAGCACACTGATCTGGTAGAGTTCTGTAACTAGCCGAGCAGCCTTCCTTCAGAGGTGGCCGCATTAGATTCATCCTGGCAGCCAGTGCTACTCAGGTGGTGTTCCCAGATTCCCCTAATTTCAACAGCGTTGCGTGCCTTTTGAAAGTTCTGTGGTTTAGACCTTCCACCGAAATATGGCAAAGGTGTCTTCTGGCTCTAAGTGTCAGCTGGTAGGACTCTGAGCTATATTCCCGTTCAGAGCTCCAGATCTGAGACTGGTTCTTTGGCTGCTCGCAGGCGACTTTGGGTAAGTGCAGGCATTGCCGAACTATAAAAAAACCACAGTCCTGATTTTAAAAATCATGAGTGAGAGACAGC